TTATCATGTGATTTCTCAGAACTGAAAATTCAAAGCGAGCTTTGTTTATCTGCTGTTTACAAACCATCAAGTGACTTTGGAGGAACAAAGCTTTCAAGAAAGAAAGGTTTTATGACTTTAATTGCTAGACAAACTGGCGGAAGGGGCCCTGCATTGAAGGTGGCATTAAGACCCTAGCAAAGTCAAATATCGGGATTTCTGAACTGAAGCCCAATTAAGAATATCTCATTGATTTTATATCTATGAGCATCATGATTGCAATGACAGGATGCTAACTGGACCACGAGAAATCTTCCATTTTTTAAAATCCATCTCAGAGTTCAAATCTTAACTCGGTTGGGATGTTGTACCATTTGCTTTTATTTTAAACCCGATATCATGTCTGCAGAGTCATCATGTATGAAGGTGTATGTTGGAATTAAAGGAATATAGCTACTTTTGAATAGCAGCTGAGTTGCTAATTAGTTTCGCGACTTAATTAAAGGATAGGTTTGTTTTATAATGCGGGTTAATTTTGAGTTTATTGAGGGAACCTGGTGAAGGACACGTTGGTTCTAGATAACAGTAACGAAGAGCAACAGACTGACTACTTTGAAGATCAATCAAAACTTCTACATTGTTGGTACAGCTTGTGGAGTAGTAGGGCTTAATGGCCTGCAGTTATATCTCAGTCAGAGCTCTGAGCAAAACAATAGTACCTCAGAGCGCACAACCTCAATACTTCAGATGGCACCCCACATTGAACGCCAGCACTTTGGGAAGCCTGGGGAAAGAGGACAGGAGTGTGGAACTGCCAGAGAAGAAAGAAAATAGGACAAGTACAAAAACAGATCATGGTTCCAAAGGAGCAGTAAACAAACAGCACAACCATTACCAAAGACAACAAGGTGTAGAGCTGGATGAACACAGCAGGCCAAGCAGCATCACAGGAGCAGAAAGGCTGACGTTTTGGGCCTAGACCCTTCATCAGAACCTGATTGAAAGACAACTTCCTACTTCTGGCATGTTGGTTGAGCTTTAGTCAAACTTTAAGGTTAGAATGGGAGTTGGACAGAAAGTGAAAATGGCCCAAAACTGGAAACTTGGGGGTTACCATTTGGTACAGATTGAATGGAGGTGTTCAGCAACTCAGGACAGCATGGTGGCTCGGTGGTTAGCACTGCTGCCTCACAGTGCCAGTGACCCGGGTTTGATTCCACCCTCGGGCTCCACACCCTGTGTGAAGTTTGCACATTCTCCCCGTATCTGCGTGGATTTCCTCTGTGTCCTCCAGTTTCCTTCCATAGTCCAAAGATGTGCAGGTCAGGTGGATTAGCCATGCTAAATTGCCCAATAATGACCAGGAAGTGCAGGCTAGGTGGATTAGAGTAGGAGGGATAGGGTAGGAGGATGAGTCTGGGTGGGATGTTCTTCTGAGGGGCAGTTTGGACGTGATGGCCTGCTTCCACACTGTAGGGATTCTACGATCCTGATCACTCAATCTGTATTTGGCCTTCCTGATGTGGAGGAGACCCAATTATGAGCGGTGTGTGAGGTTTACTAAACTGAAAGAGGTACAGGTGAATTGCTTCAGCTAGCAGGTGTGTTTCTGGTGTGGGCTGGTGGCTAACTAATGTTTACTGACGAGAGGCAGAGTGGATGGTCTCTTAATCCAGAGCTTTGCTACTCTCTCACTCTGTTGATTTATGGCTTGTGAGACAAATGTACTAACTCCTATGGCAGTAAATTGTGCAGGTCAGTTTCCAGTTTCATTCCCATAGCCTGTGTTTAGTCAGCTGAACCCAGCAATGTAGCATTGGTTCATGGATGGGTGGGTGAGGTGTTTGGGATCTGAACTTTCATTATGTCAAAGGGGAAGAATAATGAACTCTGGTCTTTCATATGTGGATGTTATTCAGTGACCTCTATGCTGGTAAGAGCAACATATCATATTGACATTATCAATGCAAGTATGAGCAATTGGACGAGGTGCTAATTTCTGTGCACATCAGTGGAACTGTATCTGACACAGTCATACTTTTTAGAAGGGGAAGGAAGACAATGCCAAGGGAAACAGTCTCATAAATTTGTAATAAAATTGGGAAGGTAGAAATGTGTTTGTGTAGTCTCTTATTAAAATCATGCTAAATCCAACAAATTACTCTTATAATCTGACTACTTACTATGTGAGCTGACATTGCAAATGAGACAGCTCACCAGCTAATCTGCTTTTCATGGTGTTATTTCAAGGGGAAATGTTGGCCAGAACATCAAAAGAACTTGCTACCTATTTTCAAATAGATCTCTTAATTCCCCCTCACAGGCAGTGAAGTTCTGTCTCATCCACTCAGTGGCTAGACTGAAGTGAAAGCCTAAATTATCCGTTCAAACGCTGTTTCTTGAAATAGTTGACTAATGACTGAAAGCATAGCTTTAGTTTCACTTCTGACCATCTACTATCCATTAATTTCTCTCTATTTTAATTGTTTGATAGATCTTTTCGATTTGACTATGTTGACTGCATAAAGAATTGACTTCATTCGAAGAATATATTCTTATTAAAGTTCTTCCAAAATTTGGGGAGGTTAATCATGGTCTCACAGTGAATGCTGTAGGATGCCAAAAGCACAGATGCCTTCCATATGTGTCTCCACAACTCCATGACTTCTGCCATTTGAAAGGACAAGGATGGGAGATACATGGGAACACCAGTGACTGCAGGTTTCCCCCCAAGACACATACCCTCCTGCTCTGGGAAAATGCCAAAGTCAAGGGATCAAATTCCTGAGAGTCCCTCGCTAACAGCACTGTGGGACTTCTGTAGCACAGCAACTGCAGCGGTTTAAAAAGGCAGCTCACCATCATGTTCTCCAGGGAAATTGGGGATGGGCAAAAGATGCTGTTCCAGCCAGCAACACCCATATTCCATGAACGAATATATTAAAAAAAACTCATGTTGGAGGAAGCTGAAGATGACCCTCCCTTTCCCCTTTTTGTGATGGTATGCATGGCCTTCAGTGATGAATGCCCCATCGATGCTGGTTTGCCAACCTCTGCCAATGCCATCACCAGTGCCAAGGGGCTGCCAACTTTCAGAAATACTCACTTTGGACCAGAGTTTACTTGAATTTGTGGAGGAACCCAAGTAAAACCGAATAAAGGGCTTGAGACATAAAAATAGATTGGAAAGACTGGAACTTTTTTCACTGGAGCGTAGGAGGTTGAGGGGCAACCTTATTGAGGTTTATAAAATCACATAGGGCATAGATAAGGTGAATGACAAGGGTCTTTTCCCTAGGGTGGGGGTTTTCAACACTAGGGGACATATTTTTAAGGTGAGCAGGATAAGATTTGAAAAGGACATGAGGGGCAACTTTTTTTACACAGAGAGTGTTTTGTGTGTGGAATGAACAGCCAGAGAAATGCAGGTACAGTTACAATATTTAAATGACATTTGGATAAATTCCACCTGCCTGCTACTGGCCCATATCCCTCCAAACCTTTCCTATTCATATACACATCTAAATGTCTTTTAAACGTTGTAATTGTACCAACATCTTCCACTTCCTCAGGAAGTTCATTCCACATGCAAACCACCGTCTAAAAAAATTTGCCTCATGTCTACTAGTTTAGTTTGGGAATCCATGGTCAGTGTGGACTCGTTGGACTGAAGGGTCTGTTTCCGTGCTGTATGACTCTTTGATTCATGTCTCAACAAAGCTTGACATAGGAGTTGAATTTTAAATGAATGAAATGGGTGTAGGTTTGTGATGGGGGGAGCATTGGGGGAGTGTTGTGGGAAGGGAGTTAAACTATCTAGATTGAAGCCTTGATCCAAGCTGCCTTTCTCTCCTATCCCTAATTCACTTACGCCTGACTGTCAACACTTCATGCAGCCCTTAAGTGAGGAAATGATCGACAAATAGACAAAAAAATCTTCGTGTTAGTAGGGGTGGGGTGGGAGTAAATCCTGAATTGTGGCCTCTCCCCGATTTTCAATCTGCCTTCGACCTGTGTGAAAATTCTAACCACAGTCTTCCCAACAACAGACAGTGAGAAAGAGACCTTTGCAATCCTGTGACCATCATTCGGATTTTTTTTTCAAGAAAACTTTCCACCTGGCACCATTTAAGGTTTTGAATCAACTCTGCAACAACTTGCATTGATATTGCACCTTTTAACAAAGTAAAACATTCTTAAACAGCTCGCAGAACAGTTATTAGGCTGGATGGGTACACAGTGGCTCAGTGGTTAGCGCTGCTGCCTCACAGCGCCAGGGTTTGATTCCAGCCTTGGGTGACTGTCTGTGTGGAATTTGCACATTCTCCCCATGTCTGCTTGGGTTTCCTCCCATAGTCCAAAGCTTATGCAGGTTAGGGAGGCTTGGCCATGGGAAATTGCTCTTTGTGTCCAGGGATGTGCAGCTAGATGGAATAGCCATGGGGAATGCAGGGTTAGGGTAAGGGTGTGGGTCTGGGTGGGATGCCCTTGCAAGGGTTGGTGTAGACTCAAAGGGCTGAATGGCCTCAACTTAGGGATTCTATAGTTCTAAGTTGACAGTGAGCCATGCACGGGGAAAAGTTGAGGCAACCTCATTTAAAAAGGTTCAAGGAGTGTCTTAACGATGGAGATGCTGAAGGAGGGAGTTTCACTGACAAGGTATAGCTGGTGATGGTGGATAGGTAGAATATGTTGTGTAGAGATTCCATTCATAAATTAATCAAGCTTCTATGATAAACATAGAACCTGCATTTGTAGAGCAACCTTTATACCCTTAGAATATTCCAAAGTGTGGAACAGTGAAGACATTAATTGTAATGCATAATTGCTGTGGTGGTTGTTGGGAATAATTGATGTTGAGGTAAATCTGATTTTTATCAAATATCTACTGCTAGTTTGACATGGTAGAATTGCAAGCATTTTGTTTCTGCTCAGTAATTTGTCATTTTTCATCCTGTTTCATGTTAATTTGAGAACAGCTCTGCAGCTGGACAGTAAAGCCACTCAATGTCAGGTACCATCAACTCTGAATAAGAGCAAAATCCTGTGGAGGCTGGAAATCTGAAATCAGGATAGAAATCTCTGGAGAAATTCGGTAGGTCTGGCAGCATCTGCGGAGAGAAACAGTTAATGTTTTGAAACGTAGAGTCATACAGCACCAAAACAGACACCATGTCCAACCATAATTATGCTGAATATAATCCCAAACTAAACTAGTTCCACCTGCCTGCACCTAGACCATATGCTTCCAAACCTTTTGTATTCATGTACTTATCCAAGTGTCTTTTAAACGTTGTAATTCTGCGCACTTCCTTAGAACTGAACCATCAACCCCTTACCTTTATTTCATTTACTACATGACACCTCATATACAGTTATACAGAAACAGACCCTTCAGTCCGACTCGTCCAAGCCAACCAAGTTTCCCAAACTTAACTAGTCCCATTTGCCTGCATTTGGCCCATAACTCTGTAAACCTTTCCTATTCATGTACCTGTCCAAATGTCTTTTATGTTATTTAGCTGTGGTCAAGTGCTAGGGTTTGCTTCACTAATGCAGCTTGTGATGCTAGAGATTTTAGTTCAGTAACCTCTCCTGTATCTTGCAGCCTATTGTTAGGACCACAACTTCTACCTCTTTAACTAAATCCAATTTGAGCAACCAACCTATCCATCAATGCTTCTGTGCTGAAAGGCTCATAAAATCAGAACCTTTCAGGAATGAAGGGGCCATTTGCTCCTTTATACCTATTGTAGGTAACATAGTAGTGTAACAGGAAAGTGATCGTGGTGCACATTGGCAGCATTGTGCTCTATCTTACAAGATGCATTGCAGCAACTCACCCCAAGCACCTTGGACAGCGTCTTCCGAACTCATGACCCATGTCACTTCAAAGAGCAAAGCTGCAGCAGCATGGGAACACCACCTGCAAGTTTATTATAGAATCCTACAGTGTGGAAGCAGGCCATTTGGCCCATCGAGCCCACACTGACCATCTGAAGAGTGTCCCACCCCCCCACACACTATGACCCTGCATTTCCCATGGCTAATCCACTTAGCCTACATATCCCTGGACACATATCCCTGGCAATTTAGCATGGCCAATCTACCTAACCTGCTCGCCTTTAGACTGTGAGAGGAAACCGGAGCAAACCCACGCAGACACGGGGGGAATGTGCAAACTCCACACAGACAGTCACCTGAGGCTGGAATCAAACCCGGGTCCCTGGCGCTGTGAGGCAGTAGTGCTAACCACTGAGCAATTATACCATCCAAAGCCACCGTGCTGCCCATACCATCCTGACTTGGAACCATATTGCCATTCTTTCATAGTCACTAGGTCAAAATCCTGAAACCTCACTCCTTTAAAGGCACTACCTCCACCACTTACTCAATGGTATGAAGCAATAAATTCCACTGACGCCCAAACCCAATGAACAAATCTAAAATAATGCATTTTCTTTATCTTCATGATAAACGTAATTAGAATAAGGAATGAATTTCTAGAAATGACTATTGAAGCAGAGGATTAATGAATGTAGTGAATGCTCGGTACTGGGAAACCATAGAACATAGAACATTACAGCGCAGTACCGGCCCTTCGGCCCTCGATGTTGCGCCGACCTGTGAAACCAATCTGAAGCCCATCTAACCTATACTATTCCATTATCATCCATATGTTTATCCAATGACCATTTAAATGCCCTTAAAGTTGGCGAGTCTACTAATAAAATCAATTAAATCAAATAAAATCAATTTATTTTGCCTTCTGCCATCCTGATACCATAAATGGTGCTGTTAGGTAATCATAGTGATCAATCTCCAACAATGAATCTACAACAAACTCTAGCATGATATGTGGAAAACCCTTGGGGTGGAAAGCTTTGGGAACTGCGGCTGGATTTTTATGGCACCCTGTGGGTGGGATGGAAAGCGAAGGGTGGGGTTATAAAATTGGGAAATGTGGCAACACTTTTTGCACAGTGCCTACCTGTCCTTTGAAATGTTGAAAGGTGTTGGTTGGCACACTGACCTGAGGGCCAATTGAGAGCTCTTTAATGGCTGAATAATGACCACCTGGGGGATTCTGAAGCCCAGTGTAAAATTAAGAGATTTAATTTAATTAATTTAATTTAGTTTAAGAAACTCAAGAGAGTCTAATGTTACCTGTTCGTCCTAAACATTTTATAATTACATAGTGTCATATTTTGATTTACATATGAAAGGAATCCTTAAATGTTAGGAAAGAATTAGAATTAGATAAATAATTCATATTACCTGGCTGACGATGCCCTATTGCTTAGTGTCAGGTACCTTGCTCTCAGTCCTGCCTTTGGCCATGTGTTTACTGCTCACTTGCTTCTTCATGCCCCAAACTGTGCCAGGCCTCATTCTGCCATTGAAGATGTAACATTAGTGTTGTGAAGAATAACAGGAATGGACCCACCATATTTAAGGAACTGTTATCGAGCACTTATGGGAATTTAAGGGCAGGACAAGGTTATTAGCCCTGTACGTCTGTACCACTATTTAATAAGTTAAACACTGATCTGTGAGTTTACTCTATGTACTGTCCATATCCTTTGGTATTTTTAGCTAACAAAAGTATCAAATTTAAAGTTAATAATTGATCTAGCATCATTTGCCATTTGTGGATAGGGCATCCTAGTTTCTACCACCCTATTGCACATTTCCTTGTTTGCTTCCTGTAAGGTTGGGTTCTAATATTTTGATGACTATACAACCAGCAGAGCCCATATACAAATGGGCTCTTTTAAGTTATTAGGTTTCCTTGGCATTGTAAAAAATGTTAAGGATCATGATTTTAGGAAAGTCACCCCTTTTAATATTTCCTCCTTTGGTTTGTTGTCCAATTCTCTAATGTATCCGCAAAAGACATTGGGACACCTCTCTATTGAAGAATTCATTGAGTTCAACCTGTTGTCATAGTTTCAATTAGTTGTTTAATGAGGCAATGAGTGATGATCTGATACTGTATTTCAATTTGAATAAACATTCACATTAAGAAACTTTGAATTAAGAACAGATTTGTCATTTTAAAAAAAGTTTGTAATATTTGTCTATCTAAAGTGTTTCGCAAGATTTACTTCAAGTTAATAACATGGTACATGTAAATGAAGCATACCTCACCTTCAGAGATTACCTGCGAAAGATTTCAATGAGTTAAGCTACATGACTTTCATACTTGAACAGCACAACCTTGAGAGATTTACTGGGGCTTGTCAGCTTGCTTTATTGTTTTCAGATTGCAAGAACCTGAGAGAATTCTAATTGTACAAGTGTGTAAGTGACTCTATAAACAAAACAAGCATCAAAAGGCAAAGTCTGAAAGTGAACAACACAATTGTCAAACCAGGAGATGTGGGAGCAGGAGGATTGTGGGAGAAGACAGCATCTTCCAAACGCATCTAGAAGGACAAAGGGCAGCAGATACATGGAAGCACCACCACGTGCAAGTTCCCTTTCAAGTCACTCACCATCCTGACTTGGAAACATATCGCTGTTCCTTCACTGTCGCTGGATCAAAATCCTGGAACTCCCTCCCTCACGGCATTGTGGATCTACCTGCAGCACATGGTCAGCAGCGGGTTCAAGAAAACAGCTCACCACCATCTTCTCAAGGTGCCACTGGCTCAAGAACCAGACCCAGGGCCTCAATTTACAGGCAGTCCCTGAGATGCAAATGAGTTATATTCTGGAGTCCATTCGGAAGTCAATTTGTATGCAAGTGGGAACACAATGCAGGACAATGTAAAGCCACTGTTCATAAATAAAGGAAATTTCTGTGCGTCAGATATTTAAAATTACACCCCTGTATGGTTTTGTGATCATAAGTACCAGTGTTCAAAAGTTGGATATTCACAAATCAGGGACCCTCTGTATGTTAGCAACTTGGAGGAAGCAGAGTGTAATGTATCCACATTTGCTGATGGAACAAAAATAGATGAGAGAGCATACTGTGGTGTGTTCCATAAGGAATCTACAAAGGGATATAGATTGAGTGAGTAGGCAAAATTTGGCAGATGGAATTTTTAACACAGGAAATTGTGAGGTTATACACTTTAATAGGAAGAATCAAAAGGCAGTCTATTATTTAAATGGAGAGAGAGAGTGTGAGGAAAAAAAAACTGCAAAAAAGTACTGTCCAGAATTTGATCAAGGGGAAGTAGTGTTGTCATGTTACTGTCACTGGATCAGGAATCCAGGGACCCGGGCTAACGCACTGGGACTTCAGTTCGGGTCCTAACATGGTAGAAGATGAAATTTGAATGAATGGAAGAAACCTGGAATAAAAAGCCAATCTAATTTTGACCATGTAACCAATGTCAATTGCTGCAAAAACCCATTTGATTCACTGATGTCCTTCAGGAAACAGAGTCTTTTTTCTTTATCTGGTTTAGCCTCAGTGTGACTCCAGACCCACAATATGATTGTTGGCTAAAACAGCTGTCTGAAATCTCTGAAATTCAGTTCAAGGGGCATTTGGGGATGGACAATACATGTTGGCCAGCCAGCGACACTCTCATCCCATGAATGAATAATCAAGAAGCAACTCTGCATCGGATACTAAAATCTGGTGGTTTTTAAGGCAATGTGGTTACAATTGAAAAAACCTTGTAGGATTAACTAACTGAGTAAAATGTGAGACCTTGGTTTAATTTGAAGTACCTGCCTTATGGTTTCCTTCATGTTTCAAAGGGATTGTCACCTTCATTTTTAGCAGCTGTCATTTCATACTTCATGAATGAGTTGACCCTATTTATGGAAGGATTTATCAAAACACCAAAGGTTGACTTAGTTACTGTGGTCGATAGTGTTTAGGTTGGCCAAAAGAAACGTAGCCTTATTTTTGCATTTCACCAAATTCAATCTCCACTTATTTTTTTCAGCGAACGTAACCTTTAGCTGATATTTGGGTAACCTGTCAACAGCAACTTGTGTGCTCTCTTGAGCAAATTGTTCATTCTCTCGTCCACTATTAGCTGATGACAGTGTTATGCTTAAACCTAGGGGTTGAGAGAGTTAAGCGAGAGAGTTCTTGGAGATATAATGAACAGAACCTGTAACTACATC